TCACAACCTCTGGGCAACCTGTTCCAGCATTTGACCATCTTCACAGTACAAAAGCTTTTTTCCTATGCTTAAATGGAATTTCTTTTGTTTCAGTTTGTGCCCGTTGCCTCTTGTCTGTTCACTGGACAATGCTGAGAAGAGTCTCTCCACCTTCTTTACTCCTGCCCACTAGGTATGTGTAAACAATTGTGGCAAGTTACACTTAGGGGAAGGATGTAATGCTTTATTTTTTTTTTGGGGCGGGGGGGAATGGAGGGAGGAGAAAGGAAGGGGCTGAAAGGGGAAAGGTGTATTTTATCCAATCCATTGCTGAACCAAGGAGATCATGGCAGGTCTAAGCACTTTGCTTATTATTCTGCTGACTGCCAAAGACAGTGATGAAACTGAACGCTTATCTTCCAAGCTGACAGTCATTACCAGCTCCCAAATTTGTGGATCTCCATTCTTGTCCTTTGATTTGCCAGTCACTCTGTATTTGCCTAATATCATTTAACTGGACTAGCTTTGCCACATTTTTTTTAAATGGGTAAAGTTGATAAACAATAGTAGTCAAAAGAAGCATATATCCTTTAAGAGACTAAATTACTGCTGAAATGCAGACATGAGCAAAGGCTAAGGGTAACACTTCAGAAGTTTAAACTCTTTATTTAAACACTATTTAAATTTGCTCTTAAATAAATGTTCTTTAAATAAGCTTTTTAAAGTTTTGAGCTAAACTAGTATCTGGTAGAGAATCACAAGGAGCATTATAATGTAAATACAAAGCCTCTGCATCCTCAAAGTAAAGCAAGATAGAAGTTCCATTTCCCTTATCAATTATAAGCCACAATGACTGCTTTTTCACCTTTACACAAAATGGTCTCTGGAATGCTTTGTCTAGCTCTAAAGGTTCAACTAAGTTTTTCTTGAAAAACAGAATAAGGAAAGGAAGTTTAAGATGCAATACAACCATTGCTTAGGAATTTCCCAGCAAACTTTGTGTTAATCTTTTCAAGTTGTCCTCTTGTTAAGTTTCTTTTGCTAATCCATAACACAAATTCAGAAGTTGATACCATATCTTCTTTTCCCCTAGTTAATCCATACCCATGTTATCCATGTATACTGTGAACTTCCTCATCGAGGTTTTTTTTTTTTTTCCCCTCCCTCCCAAGGTTTTTCAGTACCAATTTAGAGAAATAGGATAAAAAGAATGAGATGCTGTCTGCCATGTTATTGCAGACTAAGTTGACAAGGGAGATTAACCAGCGTACACCTTTTTTGCTTTCTTTGCTACCTTCAAGCATGAAGGGAGAACATGACACACTTGCATAACTGCTTAGTAGTATCTCCACACTCTCTCTGCTTACCAGTATTTGACAGCTTGATATTGGTGTAAGCAGTGATGTACTGCAATCATAACTTCTAGATAGAGTAGGATTCAGCTCCAGATTGTGCAGCCACATGGGTGGCATTGAACAAACAGGGCCACTTCAGATGCCACAGATGACACTGGGCATAGGGGAGAATTGCACTGTTTTAGAATAGTGGTTCTTCCACTAAGTGCTTAAAATGACTCCGGAGACCTGTGTTTAGGCAACCAAATGCTATCTTTAGACCATTAGCTGTTAAAGCCTCCACAGCCGCTCAGTTCATCAAACCAGACACTTAGTGGCAGGTCAGCTGAATCACTCTCCAGGTTCTGAGAACTACAGTGGGAATTTAGACACCTACTTAGTGTCATAACTTGGAGCTGAAATACACACTGTCTTACTAGCATACAAATATCTGTAGCCACTTCTGCTATATGCTGCAGTTAGATTTTAAGCCCTAAAACAGTCAGGTTTTTCCTGCATGTGCTCTTCTACCTTTAAATTTAAGTGGTATATGCTAGAGCAAAGGAGACTAAGTCTTTCCGCTAAAACCACTGTTTTTAGAACTATGGAAGCAGACAGGAAAGGACTGTGTATATTCTACAAAAAAAGTCATAAATCAACAACTCTGCTTCCTGAAATGTCAAATCAAGTGAATTGTATGCAACTGAAATGTTGCATGAAAAAGAGACTGGGTAATGGACTGCAATAGCCTCACTCAGAATACCCTTAGTGCCTCTAAGGGCACTATTTTGCAACCAAAACTGCATTTTAAGTTCAGAATTGTTCACACTATCAATTACGAAAGTGGGGGAGTGTTTGCTTTAAAAAATAAAAACAAACTATCTTCAGACAAAATGAATGCTTCCATTTACCAGAAAGTCTATGCATAAAGTAGATTTGGGTAACTGAACTAGTGGGAATAAATGCAGTCTGAAGGAAGCCTTATTTTAATGTAGTACTACAGGTTGCTGACTAGCTTGAAGGCAAGTCGCTGTTCCTAAACTCTGATTTGTCACAGTCTTCAAGTCTGTTTATAATTTGATTTCAAAATGAAAAAGGATGTATTTATATTTAATACTTAAGTTATCTATTTAGTACTTATTAAATACTGCTTGCATATGGAAAAGCAGTAAACTCAATGGAATTTGATTCATTTTAAATGGATATACTGACTTCAAAAGACATATGCAGATAACTTAAGTGCTTTTGAACAATGTATAAATTCAAATAGAATAGAGCTATAGTGACATGACGGATTGTGCTGAGAACTTTCTTCCAGAGACAGAATTCAGTTAGATCATTTTATTCACTTTGGTACAGTGACTTACTCATTCCCAATGTCTTCCCTCCCTTCTAGATGTGAATGGAAGAATCATCCTCTTAAGGTGTCTTCCAAAACTATGCTATTGCTAGATGCCCATCATGGGGGCTTCAAAAACACCTGAACAGGAAAAGCCAGCAGTCACTTTGTGCCTTAGCAGTTGTCATACAGCAAAGCTAAGGTTGTGCCTTTACTAAGAAAGCAGCCACAGAAAGTTTTCTGTATAATCGTACTTACGGTCTTCCAGTATACTTCAGCTTCATGCCCTGAAAAAGAGGCATCCTAGGAAAGCAGACAGATGAAGATGTTCAGAGTACTGTTAGATACTGCCCGCTTTGCAATGAATCAAAGGGATACAGAATGAATCAAAGGAATCAAAGGGATACAGAATGAATCAAAGGGATCAAAGGGATACAGAATGAATCAAAGGGATACAGAATGCATACTTAGTTTCACTGAGCAACTGGATCCACAGCTGGATTGACACAGCTGGATTGACATCTGTCTGTACACCAGAATTGACATGTCAGGTGATGTTTCAGTATTATAGAGCTAACATTTACATCAGCCAAAGCTGTTATTTTTCAGAAATCTCTCTGCTAATCATTTTTACAAGCTTGAATTCCCAGCTTCTCCCAGAAGGGGCAAGCCAAGGAACCCTTTTCAGCCTCACATTTTCACTGTTTTTTAGATAACTAGGTTTGTTAGGCACACTCAGTAGCAGTAAGATGTTGAAGAGGAATTCACTAAACCTTAAAGATAATCAGATATGGCTGGAAGCAATGCTTCTATCTTCTGCAATGCTGAACATCCTTCTGGATAACGTCTAGGTATAGATCCAGAAGACTAACAAGCTATAATGTAGTCATGAAGTCTTAAGTGGACAACAGAAGTTTTCTGCCTGCTCTATAGAGGGCAGGAGAAGCCTGCTTGCTTCCTTGCAGCTGTTAATATTTTGGGCAGAATGGACCATATCACTCTTTCCCTGTTACATATAATCTGCTGATAATACTGTCAAGTTATTAAGAAAGCATCAGAGCCACATCCAATTTGCTTCCACTACTGAGGAAGACTCCTTTGCTTCATTAGATTTGCTGTCCTAAGTACTACCTCTAGCTTTATGTGTTGCAACAGAACAGTGCCACTATCCAGGCAGCTACTTATTTCATGCTGTCCTCTTCCAGGTGTTTAAGCCAATCCCATAATTTTCTAACCAAATCACTCTGGACAAAGAAAGGCAATTAGTACCTGTAGGAGGTCTCTGAGTCAGACTGTGTAAGCCATCTCCTTGATAGATGTTGCAGTCGCTTGAAGATGGTGGGTAGATGGTTCTGTATACAGTCCAGAAGAGAAGATAAATGGGAGCAGCTCTCAGGCTCTTGACTCTGGCCCAGGAATTCTCATGATATTGCCCTGAATGAGCAGGCCAGTTAGGTCTGGAGATAAATAAATTGGAGCTGGACCCTCCATGCTGGCCATGCTCAGCCAAAGTTTAGAAATTTCAGTGAGGGCTTGAAATCTGTAAGATGAGAAGACATGCACTGCTGGGGGGAAAGGAGAGGGTGGGTGGAAAAAGCAGGAGCTCTTTAAAGCCAAGCAGTTGCATTAGAAAAGCAATACTGATGTTAAGGCAATCGAATTCATGCAGGGCTTAGATTCTTCTAGGATTCAGCAGAAGCTGGCACTACTAGCAGACACTGAACTTAACAGGCTTTTGGAACAACTTCCCAATAAAGTCAGCCATACATGGGTTATCGTTCCATGAATATTAGATTTTTTTTTGTTTACTTTTAACACATACACTAGATAAGTTGCTATTATTCTAAGTCCCTGAGCGTCATTTCATCATTTTTAGGCTGCTCACACAGTTGCTACAACTCCTATATTTACCCATTGGTTTGGCATTAATGCATGTGTTTCCTTTATTTTCTTCAGACTATTCCATGATTCCATTTTCCTCTTCCTGTTAAGATCAATACAGAAAAAATGAGTCCTCTTATGTAAAAGAATCAAATTCTCACCCCTTCCCCCAAACTGAGATTAGATGTTCAAAGATTTGCTGTTTTATACAAAAAGTATCATAACATTAGACATCCTGCTTCCAAGATACTAAATTATAAGCCACTGTTCAAATGGAATTCAGCCTAGAACAACTGAATTTATGTTAAAAGTTACCACTGCTTGATTGTAATACAATGTACATCTTAATCTTGAAAGGGAACGAGGTTATGGTCACTGTAGTGAGAGCTATTTTAAAGAATTAGCATACATTTCAGATTTAAACGAGTACTGTACTGACATTCAAGAATTTCAGTCCCCATACAGACTGAGATGAACAGCACATTTATTTATTTCAGTTACAACAAAGACAGACAAGTCAACCTTACAACCAGAAAGGCAATGAAGGCCTCATTAGCTTAGTTGATAACCATTTCATAATCTAGGCAACATGTTATGATTTCTTGAGATCACAGAGAAAACATCCCCTTGTTTAAACAAGTTTTCCTTATTTAGGTTTCACTTAAACTTCCTGTAAGAACAGCACTGTTAACAGGATCGAAAGGGACCACTGATGTACAAAGCCTACATCCTCCTCCCAGCCTCCAAAAAGCATACAAGTGTAGAATTTATTCAAAAAACTTATATATATAATGCAGTCATGATCACAGCTAGTAGAAAGGGAAAAAATTAAGTTTGATTTCCAGATGGGGTTTATGATGCATAAAACTTTCTCATGTGGCAGTGCACTTTTTTTTTTTTAGTAATGAAACTCTCCTCATTTTAAGCCAAAGCCTACTGCAACTTCTGTAGTAAGGAGAGAGAAAAAAAAAAACAGAGCTCACAATAAAAAGGGATTTCCCTGCACCCCCCCCCACACACACACTCTAGGTAAAAATTCTGAATTAAAGGAAGCGTTAGAAACATGGGAGAACTTACTATATAACAAGTGCCAAGCATAAAACCGCTTTCCTAGACTTCAGTGTGTTTAGAGGCAATAGAAAAGACTGAATTCAGGAGTGGTTGACAGTGGGATACAGTGCTACAGGTTGAACATGACCCACTAACAGACAAACCCAAAAGCATGCATGTATCCCACCACAAAGGAAAGACATGCTTGTCTAGCCTGCTCATTTCTGCAGTTTGCTCTAGTATTATCTCCTCTTTCCTTTTTTACCACGTTATTCCTTCACTCCTTCAAAGGACCACTTAAAGTAAGAGTCTCCATAGTGCTCCTTATTCTCCAAAAGATTCTCTCACTCTGTCTAGGGATACAGAAACAGTAGGAGAAAATGAGTGCAACTCATCTCTTCAGCTGTCCTTCTAAGCTGTATTTAGATCTAGAAAACAACAGAAACTGGCATATCAAGTACTGTCCCATCCTTAGCTGTTTTAACAGTATAATTGAGGCAGACCATAGCTTTTCAGTCAATTGCTAACAGGTCAGTTTTTGGTACATGGAAATACTGATCAACTGAAGAAAAATGTATAAATATATATGTATATACACATACATACTTTCACTGGCCTCACCTCAGTCAACTGATTATACCCCTTACCACCCAAATAAGGGAAATACATTAGATGCTACTCGCAACAAAAATCAGAATCACAGCCAGAACTATTCATTCACGAGGAGTATCTTTTTGGCTCAGTCAAGACTTTTGGATACCTTAGCTTACATTCAATTCTGTGAGGCAGCCACCATGATTTGATTTACCCAAAGTACTATTTTTAATGGGGCTGTTACCATCTTGAAATTGTAGTTTAAAGTTAACCAGTAATACAAAACATGTTTCAGTGTTTCCAGTGAAGGAGCTGAGGAAAAAAAAAAAAAAACTGTAAGAAACCATTGCTGCAATTTTATTTTAACAAAAGGGCAGATTTATTCATGTTTACAAACAAATTTCAAAAACAAAAAGGAGAACATGTATGCTATCCACTAACAACCTTTCAAAATGCCAACAGCCCTCATGTTGCATGAAGGATCCTATAGATTAGGGAAAAAAATCCACAGTTCCACTCACAGTTCACCAAGACAGCACTAAACTAACATGTTTAGACAAAAACAAAGGACTAAGATTCTGATGTATTTTGATTTAATCCATTTTGCCCGAGATAACAGAAATATTTCAAGCAAGTTCCATCACATATTGATGTCCTGCATTAAACAATCCTAAGTTCTGAACAAAAGTTATTTAGTAAGTTTCTCAAAATTTTTTAAAAATTAAACAGTTGTTTCAAAACCATTAAGTAGTAAATGTATTTAAGAAACTAATTAGGACAGAGGCCATAACTTCATTAGAACACCACTGCTCATGTTTTTACAAAGCATTAGTGTTATCTATTTGGCTATTAATATCAGCAATTTATCTACAATATTTAACAAGGTAAATTGCAGGCAAAATTTAGTACAGTTTCAATAGAAACACCCTTTTCCTGAAAATACAGCAGTATTTGAAGGACTATTTTTTTGTTTTTTTTTTTTTGTTGTTTTTTTCTCTGCATCATTTATAAGGAAGCTTCCCATCTATGAACAGGAACAAAAAAGTATCTACAAACCTTGTAAACAGATCTGTATCATTTATAAACATAAATAATCCAAATTATTAACAGCCAACAGCAGAATTAAAGTATCATTTCAGTGATCCAGGGCCTCCTTGCCCTTCCCAGCCTTCCCCTCACAAAAGGATCAAGATAAACTAAAGCTCTGCTAACACACTGTTCAGGACCATTCTTAAGTACAACAGATGATCCACAGGTCACTTATGCTGAGTTACTGTTTATCTGTCAGAGTTCATTATTACTCCCACCCCCAGAAAAGCACCCTCCAGTCTGGCAGAAAGCTTTTTTTAAAAAAATAAATCTACATTCGTACAAGTGTGTCTTCTGTTGAAGTCCAAGACAAGAATATCATCTTGTCCATCATAATGTGTGAAGAGACCCAGTTTCAATTTCTTTACAATGCAGCTAGTGTGTTAACATTCAGCTTACAATCAGAGTGATGTTTCCAAACTATGTAGCGGGCTCCCTGGGGATGAAGAGGTAGCAGACTTGTTCGTGTCTGTTGTAAGGTGAATTCCACTGTCAACCGCATTGTTATTTTTATTGGGAGAGGGGGGAGGAGTAGAGTTGCGTTTTGTTGGAGCATCATCTTCAGCATCAGTATCATCAATAAGGGGAATATGAGGCTCGGAATCTTCTATTCTAAACTCAGGATGTGTCATAAAATTGTGAATTGAACTTCGTGTCTCAGGTTTCTCTAACCCCTCATATAAGGAGCTACGAAATGCATTCACCACTCGGATCTGTAAACAACAGAAAAAAAGGTTGTTAAAATGCTGCAGGCTTACTGGTAATGACATGGTTCTTATGAGTTTGAATCCACAAACAGCTAGACATGAGTGAATCGAATTTGTATGTGATGCAGTGGAACTTGCAATAAACTGTAAAAATGAAGAGCATTTCAGTAGAGCACTGCCAGTCTACAAAAGTAGGAATAAAAATTGTGAGAGTACTGCAAAAAGCTGAAGGGCCTAAAAATTCAGACATGACACTAAAATTCTTCAATTATTTAGCATGGGCTAAGCATTTTTCAAAAGTGAGGCCAACATTTTTTAATCTACTTATTCACAAATTAAACAAATTTCTGTGAGTTTTTTTGAATACCGAGGGGGGTAGAAAGCTGAAAATAAGTTAGAGGATAAAAGGGTTACTAATTCTCATGCTAGGAATTAGGATGTCAACTGACTATGAAAAAGCCAAGCAAGTGTAAGCCAAATGGCGCAATGACTGGACATTTACAAAGTGTCATGCAAAAAAGGATACTGCTATAACAGCTGTAAATATTCGAGTATATATCCATTTACCACACTAGAGAAAGTTTCTTACTGAATAATGATTTGCAAGTTTAAAACCAGAACCAGGAAACTGAACACGGTACCGTACACTTCAGATGCAGCCATGACAGGCTGCAAGTTTGAAGAATCTAGCACAAAGTATGACAGATGATCAGGCTTAGTTTAATTGAATTTTCAATTTACAGTGAGTTAATGGACAAGTTTCCTTGCCTGAAGATTATTTCAAATCTTTTCATTGTTTGATTAGCTTTTTTTTTTTTTTTTCAAATCAGAAAGGAAGCTAAAGTTACAGAATTTGTAACTAAATGTTTTGGAATAAAGTTAGATAGAATAAAAGCAATACAACTTCACTTTGTGAACAGTGCAGGTCCCAAGTTGATTTTGGTATAAGCTTTTCAAACTGCAATTTGAAGGCTGAAACCACCTGCTCACATCCCCCTTCTCTGCCCAAACCCCACACAGTTCCCTGACCAACTACAGGTACTGAGGATTCATTAATGAACTGATATAAAGCAAGCAAGGCTAAGTAGGAGTAAATGACTCCTCTGTCCAACACTTTCATCAGGATACAGTTTCCCTTCTGGTACCATCCCATTCAATTCTCAATATCTCTTGAAAGTTCAACTTTTAAGTAACTTGAATAATTCTCTAAGAAGGTATGGTTCCAATCCAAAAGCTCCTCTGTTGTATAAGTGGGGAGAAATTCTAGAGTAAACAACAACAACTGACTGTTACAAAACAGTAAGTCCAGTTTTAAGAGATTTTAACACATTCAAGGCAATATATTTCAAGCTGAGAGAAGCATCTCGTGAGTAGCACTTCCATACAGGATGCACTGAATTCCTTGGTAAGTAAATATAAATGGACTTCCAGGTGAAGGAATGAAGCTGAAAGGTCAAACAGATCTGAAGCACTGACCTCAAAAGAGCTAAGATATACCAAATGCCTCACTAAGTCCACTCACAAAAGCAACACGCTACCAAATTGTTGTAATGTACAGTGCTTGTGTAAGTCCTAGATTCTGACTGTGTTCTTTGACCTCTAGAAATAGCAGGGGATTCCCCTCTACCACCACCTTCAAGAGCACTTTCACAAAAAAGTCAAAGCTACACAAGTCCATATTTTTATAGTACAACTAGATAGCTAGGTCCCATTGACAACAGAAACCATTAAAGTAAGGAGGGGTGTCCTACTGTGACTATCAATACAGAGAGAACAGGAAATAAGTCTTAATGTGTTTGAGAAGATAAGGGTTACAACAGCAGCTAGTGCTTTACTATTCTCATCGCAAGAAAACTGAGCGCACTCTTAAGGAATTGACTTAGTTACATGAGCTCTAAACCAAGTACAGCACATTGCATAAACTGTCCTGGCACTTACTAAAAAAAATTAGTGGTGCCATTGTGCCAAACTGAATGTTTACAATGCCTTCATTTGGCATGTTGCATCTCTCATTCTTCCCACTGTGCCACTGATTTTTGTGGTAAACTGAAATGCAACTGGCTCATGAGACCAGTTTTCTCTTGCTTCCAGATGGTAAGGTATATCATGAGCAGTAACAGAGAATAATTTTTGGCTCAACTAAACAGCTGTGATTATCGCAGGAATATAAGCATATCCACAATAAAGGCTTGATTCATATGCAGACTGCATACTAAACAAATGGTTTGAATCATGACACAGAACACTCGCATGAACTCAAGACTCTGAAGGAGTCCAGCCATGAAGGCAGAAATCAGACCATCTGCATTTTAAGCTATACTTGAAAGGGAAAAGTTAAGTGTTTTGAAGGCTTTATTTTCAACTTCCTAAGATAATCAGACAAGAGAGGTAACTATAAATAAATAGCATAAGCAAGGAGCAAACAAGACAATTTGTTATCTGTAATTTATACTGTCAACAGGCCTTCCTCATATTAGTACCAGAATAGCAAGGAATGCAATAAGCACTCCAAAACCTCCTAGCCAGATGGCTGCTTAAGAGTTGCAACCTCACTTCACAGGAACATCTGAACTATTTCCTTGGAAACAGCTCTCTGAAGAGAGACACAATGAAGTCACATTTGCTTCTCATTAATACATATTAGTCATCAAAAGCTGTTCTCCTGAAGGGTGTAGCAATAGGTAGTGCTTTTTAACAGGGATTGAAAAATAAATCCCTACTATTGCAGCACTGCATCTACATTGGTCATTTGAAGCAATGAGATGTTGTGGTGCCCATTAGATTCTGCTCAAATGGCAGCATGGTATGAAGTTGCTCTCTAGGCGGTCTTGAATGTTTAATGTTCTTCAGCATACTTAAGGATACAGGTTACTCATTAGCATTTTAAGTAGGAGATGCAATCCTGCACATCCTTAGTGTTAAATATACTTTTCATTTAGTGTTCTTGAGGTATGCACATTTGTGAGCTGAGCCTCTCAATACTACTGCAAGGTAGAGAAATATCTTTTTTGCTAACAGGAAAAAGTACAAGAGATAGGTGCTTGTGCAAGCTCACAGAGAAATTTCGGCCAAGCCAAAAAATTATCAGAAGAGGACATTTCTTTAAGACAGCTCCTGAAATTAAGGATCTTCATCCATCCAGCAATCTGAAAGTTTAAAGAAAAAAGAAAACAGTCTTCCCACAAGAGAGAATTATTTACAAAAAAAAAATATTTAACCATCCTCTAGTAAGTTAGAGAAGGAGGTTAAACATGTAACGTTTAGGATGTAATGCAATTAGGATGGAAAATTATTTCAACAATAGTTGGATATTGATGGTTAATATCTATAACTGTTCTACATCTTCAGATCCCAGAACTTAAGCCTACATACATGAGTAATTGAATCTCTAGCCTTTAAAGAAAGGAAGGCTGAAACTGAAATGCCACTTAGAGCACAATATAAAGAGGACAGAATTAAGGTGAAACAAAAACTTCGTTCTCACTGATGGCTTATGAACTGCTGCCAGAAGAACCTAGAGAGGAAAAAAATATCATTCAGGTTTGAATGAAAGTTTCACCATTTAATGCATAAGCCTTTTTTCTGTTTATATTAGCTGATTAAATCTTTCTTCTCCCTTGTACACATTCAAGAAGCCTTGATTCGCCACCTGAGTCCTGATGTTGAGAAAGTTGTGTTTAGTAAAAAAGATCCAACAAAGGCAGAGATTCAGAAGTTCCTTGTGGGCTACAAAGAAAATGCATTTAGTGCTCCATGTCCTAAGTACATTCATTTTTTAAAAAATATTTGTTTCCATCTACTTATTTGAAATATCATTTGTTCTTCCACCTACTTATTTTACCTTTTAAAGTATCGTGTGCTGTAGTGCAAGACAGCTACTTTTGCTGGCCTAACCCCATGATTATCAAGTATTCACTTATTTAACATAAGTCATCCTAAGAGGCATATACTCGAAAATTTACAACAGTTTTCCTGTTTTTCCCTTAAACATCCCTCTGCACATGAATGGATGAAGGCACAGGATGTGCAGGCTCACAGCTTTCATGTTAAAATCTTTTGTTGCAACTGTTCCACCTGTTCTCAGCCCTCTAAGAAAAAAGTCTTGAGGACTCCACTTTGTGCAAAAGCTTTATGAAAAGCCTGAACGATGATTTTTGAGTACTAAGGAGAAAGTGAGAAACGTTAGGTATATGAATTAGGAAATGTTAATTTCATGCACTTTAGGAACACACACTCACACCCCACAGTAGTAGAAGCAGTAGTAGAGGAAAACACTACATGTGTAGGGGTAGAAATATTTGTTACATCATGGTGCTGGCTGGCGATGGAGGGTTGCCGCCTTAGAGCCCCCTGAATGGTACTTCCACTCTGGAAAGCATTCACTACATCCATCTGCAAGGAATCAGAGATTGTGACAGCTTGCTCAGCAAGAGAGAGAGAGAACAAGAGAAAGGACCATCTCAACTATAACACACAAAGAAAAAAGGCACTTTTCATAGAGCAGATACACAGGCAAGATTTGCATTTAGAGCTGAAGAAAACAGAGGACCCTAAGGGAATATACATCCATCCATACCCCCTTTTGAGAGTCTCAGCCACACCATCTAGAACGGCCATCTTAGTCAAGGGATTGGGGATGAGGGAAATCTTTTCCTCTCCAGAACACCCAGTGTCCTACCTTTTCCAAGACCATACCTGAGTTTGTATCCTGTTCAGGCCCCTAAACCACAAGATCTGACCACGACGTAATTCTCTCTCAGCATGATCAATCTCTTCTACATCTTCTGCTAATTCTTCTTCAGGAATCTCTTCCTTTTGCGTTCCATGACCAGCTTCTTTAAGGAATTTCAGACGGCTAGTTGGAATTGTTGAAATCAGCTAACAGTGAATGAAAATATGAATCAGGATTTTTTTTTTTGTTTTAAACTTAAAACAAACAGAATACTAGACTTCAGGCTTAACAAAATATCCTGTTCTTGATTAGCAAAGCTGAAAGACAAATGATAAAAATAGAATGAGTGCATTAACATAGAGCAAGCACTTCAGCCAAATAGCTGCAAAGCTGGGAGTTTCCTTACCATCTCAACAGTAGTGTGAAGTTAAACTTGGATTACAAACCTAAATAACAAGAGTTTGTACCTGCTAGGTACACAAAATTCCACTGTAGGATTACTTGACTACGCGAGGAAGGAGCAGTGCTAAAGCTAAAAGAACCATTAATTCTGTAGATTGTGTCTGTATCTAGCAGTGCTACTAGACAGTTACTACAGAGCTTTCAGAGCTTCAGTTTGATCAAAGTGTGAACTGCTCCTTAATTGAGAGCTACAGCATTTCATTACAAGTAGCCACAGCTAATTCAGAAATACAGAACGGACACACATTCTTTTGTCACCTGGAAGATATCAATCCTTTTGGAAGATGAGTGATGCTTCCAGAACCATTATCCTAAAATATTAATTTGCTACTTGTTGGACATTCATTCATCTAGCCCAAACTAAACTTCCCTACCCTCAGGGCTCTTCTGGTGAACTGTGTAGCTAAGAGTCATCTTCTGATACATTCCATCTAGCAGATCCAGTTCAGTTCCAAGCCTGCTTTCCTTGTGCCTCACAAAACTAGAAGGCTGTTTCAGCAGCTGCAGAGGAAAGACTGCTCCAAAAGCAAGAGGAACTGTCCTTCAGGCTGAAACTGCTACTATGCAGTGCTCACACATGAACAGTATCCCAAGAAAGGAGAAACAAGTTTATACTATTCTCAAAAAGCAAAAACTCTTCTACCTTAATGAGATGGTGAAGCAGCATGAACTACATCAGGGAAGCTCTACCCCTGCAAGACACTTTGGGTCAAAGGTGTTTCAAGTCATCTTGATTCTCTTCTGGGCTACCTTTAAACCTCATCAGAATGACTTCATTTGATTTCTTTAAATAATTTATTTTCCAGAGAACCTTACTCCTAAAAAGCTTATACTGACTGTTAGAATATGCATCTATGTGTTACTCTGACTGTTTCATATTGAAAATTGAAACTTTCTTTGCAAGATGGAAGAGAAGGGAAGGAAGAGAAGTCATACTGGAAATCTCATCATGTGCTATGAAAAGTTTAGACAAATATGCTGTTAAATAAAAACTAGGTACCTCTAAAGTTTTATGTAAAAAGCTTGTGGCTTACAAGCACCATTGTGCATGCAATAGTAACGAAAGCCTGAAGAAAATTCAAATTACAGTTGCCTAATAGTTGGAAGAGCTTTCCAATTATTTCATAATTATGAAAGTGAAGACATTTAAGAAGCTCCAGGAAGAATTCCAAGAAGTTTAAATAAAAATACAACCAAGTAGAACAATTGTGATTCTCAAGGAAAACATTACATATAAGTTAAATATATTTAAACATTAGTACCTTAATTGCATCTGTATTCTTACAGAAGTTTTTCTAATATTTATCTGGCTAAAGATATAATTTCATATTTAAGGGGTAACTACAGCTGTTTCTAGTTAAAAGTTACTAAATATATACCAGCCAGAGCATCCAGTTACAAAATATAACTAATCAATCAAGTCAGAGTAAGGATTATCCAACTAAAGGACTTATTGAACTAGACAATTTTAAGTAGTATTTACTTTTAAGCTCCGTATCTACATATGGTCCGCTTGAAAGAGGAGGTTTTCTGAGAACTGACAAAAACACATTACACAGAAAATACAAACAAAGCAATGCAAGTAAATATTTAGCATTTTGAAAAAAGTAGTTTACCTGGCCCCAGAGTAGTGTTCCCATGCCCAGGAAAATGGACCACAGCCACTGTTCAACCGAGAGTTCTGAGCAACTAAAAGGCTTCCCACCAAACTGCACAATAATTATCTGTGAAGAGGAGCATCATTGTCAACATACAATGAATCAGTGATCTCTTACCAGAAAATTCCTTCATGCTTCAACATCACTGTAGACAGAATTCTAAATAAAATTCATACAATTGTCCATTTTATTAAGCATACTCTACTACTGTCTCAACAGTTCAAGCTACTTCTTAACCAAAACGATATTCTCTTGCTTTTCAGTATTTCAAGAACCATTAAATAGTTTAGTTATTCTTCAAACATTATGTTCAGAAAAGCCTGCTGGCCACCATTCTTCATGCTTACAGTTTTTCCTTCAGTTGACATTTACAGCATGTAATGCAACAAATTTACAGTGATTAGTTATCATACAAATGCCCATCTCAGAACCAAGTTAAGTAATAAACTTCTACTGTTAACGAATCTTAGCTCCACAAGAAAAAGATTTCTGAAATAGCCCAAAAGAACATTAATATACATTCTGCCAGCGTTAAATGCAAGACTGTAGATGTCATGCTTATGATTGCTTACGTTGCAAGACTTTGGGGAAAAAACAAATCTCAAAAAGTAAATTAAATAAGCTCTTAATACCTTATTTATTACAAGAAGCTGTACAGGCCCTGATGAGCAAGGTATCCCACTGCATAGGAATTATATGCATGAAAGTCTGTGCCCTGAAGAATCAACAATTCAAGTAGCAGGGCAAGTGTGAAAAGAAGACAATATTGACCATTATTAAGTAGGACACCTGTGAGCTGGAAAGCCCAAAAATATCTGTTATTTTGTTAAAACACAATAAATCACTTTAAGACAACTGAAGAGTTACTTGACATTCAGTCAACACAAACCTAGCTGCAGTCAGGAGCAATTTCTGCATATTTGCTTTTGTTGCACAACAACAGCCTGCTATATATGCAATCCTAAAAATAAAAGTAGCTTTTGAGAGAGTATAAGCTAAAGCAAACTACAACTGGGAGAAGAAGAAAGTGAACTAACTTTACAAGAAGCAAAGGTGCATACATCTGCATTGCTTGAATGGTTATGACCTTGGTCAACTTTACGGAATTCCAAACTTTAAGAGGCTTAAGTTGGGATATCTCTTCATAAATCTAGAATAACTTAAGTCAAAATGGGGGAAAAGTTCTGTAAAAAATGCAGTATACTAATTTGTTGGTTATTTCATTGCACCTTTAATGATAAATTAAACTTTAGGGCCAGTTAGAAGGTAAAGCTACCTCATATAAACTATATTTGTTTAGATACAGCTTTGACCTGGTATTTGTAAATATCAGTAGGTTAAATTGATCAATTTCAGATAATTCATCTTGTTAATTAATACTGAGTTAAATAACTAGCTCTTACAAATCTTCCTATATACAAAAAAAGAAGGTCCCTAGATACCAGTGGTTATTCAGATCAAATTAAGAACTAAGGCAGCAGCATCTATATAAATAACTGATTTCTGAAAGAGGATGACAAAAATCAATACCTAAGCTTGAGTTTCTAAAGTTTATTCATGTTTCTAGTCTCATTAAGAAAATAAGAGAAGTTATGCAGTGTGATTTTTCTACAGTTCAGTAGGAAAAAAAAAAAAAAAAAATCGGCTTTTGTTCAGATGCACAGGCAGATATTATGGGCCAGAGTCCTAACTTTGAATATGCAACTTCATTACATTCTGCAGTAAGACTAGAACACTAAGATCAGACTGAGGGACTGGAGAATTCTAAGAGACAGACAAGTATTTCTACACTTCTACTGATTTGCGAGGCCTTACCAGAAAGCCCTATCAAGCAGCACTTCCACGTGATTTCTAGGAGTTTAATGTGAAAAATCTTCAGTATCAAACTTACAGAAAAGAAACATCTGACGCTAGTTGTTAGTATTTTGAAGGTAAGCAAGTACAGCAGCATATGAAGCACATTCCCCCGTCTGCCCCCTCCAAAGCCTTCAGTTACTTACCTGCACAACAAATGTCCCCAGAACAATAGTACAGAAGATTGCATTGTTAAAGATTCCTTCAAAAACATTTCTTTCACCATGAATTTTTCGGGCATTAATTTCATTAAAAAGCTGCATCATCACAAATGTGTTAAATACAATAGTATAGTGCTCTGAAGGAGGAGCATGGAGAGGTGCATTTCTTCCACTATCGATATCAAAAATTTTCTCACCTGTGTAAAAGAAACATTTAACAACAGCATAATTGGTAAGATTTTATACACATAGACAGAACAGACATCTCCATAAAGCTATCATCATAACTTTGTACAAACTTCAGTATTCTTACCAGCAAACAGGAGTGTAAAGACCACCACAAGTTGGTAGAACGCGTGTCCCAAAATATTCTTCATCATTGTACGAGAAATCAAAGGTTTGTTTCTACCATAAGGCTTTCGCAACAAGAGAGCTTCAGTGGGTGGTTCTGTTGCCAGGGCAAGAGAAGCTAACGTGTCCATTATGAGATTTACCCACAGCATCTGCACAGCTTTAAGTGGAGAATCCTATAAAGATAGATACAGAAACCCTCCAATCTAAGTGAACAAATTGCAGCTATTAAAGGCATTTATTAAACACGGGCATGTTTTGAAGAGCATTATGTTCTTTGGGCTAGTATTCAACCAGAAGCTTGAATTCAAGAGTTAATCAGTGAAGGCATTTTCAACCTTTACTAGTGGAAACAATCCACACCAGTACGTACTTGTGTTATGCATGCTCCCGTGAAAGCAACAATTACTGCTACTACATTGACAGTAAGCTGGAACTGAAGAAATTTTGAGATACTGTCATATACGTTTCGTCCCCACATAACTGCTTTAACAATACTTGTGAAGTTGTCATCTGTAAGGATAATATCAGAAGCTTCTTTAGCTACATCTGTTCCAGCAATACCCTGGTAGAAAAAGAAAGAAACACACTATGAGATATAACAGGATGCACTGACTTAGAGAGCAAAAGCTATTATGCTGGCTACCTGACTGTTCCTTGCTACAAAAGGCTATATAACACCTTGCTAGCTGCAAATTTTACATCCAGACTGATAAATCAAATACAATATTGAAAGACTGCTGTCAGCCTTTCAATCATCGTGGTGAGTCTGCTGTATTTTTAAAATCCAAAAGAACTGTAGGCAATGAGATTCACACACCACAAAATATAAACAAGCTGAAGAACCTCATTTGGCATTGAGTAAATCAAAATGCTAGCAGTTCTGAGCACATTAAAGCAAAGTTCTAATCCAGTTAATGTTGGGGAGGAGGGGAGAGTCTAAAAAAATTCTGAGCATGCCTCCTCTTAGTTTTATTTGAAGAGCCAACATATACCAAGATAATATGGTTTAAAAAGCCCACAGCACCAAGTTCAAAATTTAGAGAAAAGGTGACAGCTCAAGAGATAGCAATTTTTTGGCTTGTTAATAGATATGGGTTAGCAGTACTCTGAAAGGAAGTGCTGGTTGCAAGTGGGTTATAAAACATTTTAGAGCCCTTGTAAAAATCTAGCTCTACAGGTGGCTATTTCTGAGGTTCATCTTTTTAAATTTTTTTAAATCTCCAAGGATCAGGTTTGAGAAGTAAAATGAAGTTTTATATCCTTTAAAGAAAGTAGCAGTAATAAAAGCAGGCAGATTATCTAGACAGCATATGAGCTCTCCCAAAGAAAGGTTACTGAACTCGATCAAACCAACGACCACCAGATGGTGCAGTACTACCGTTTAGTCCATGCCTAAGCAGTCTGCTATATGGATTTCAGCAGTAGAGCAAGATGTGATGCACATCTCCAAACTTTTTTTGCAGAAAAGCTTTGACATTAAACAGTAGACTACGTATGCCATTAAGTTTTAAGCAGCCGTAGCCTCCTACAGTATCTAAACAGTTTGTTATGTCTAGTATGCACTTCTCTAGGATAGCTTTTTGAAATACTGTAAGCAAAATATTTAACTTCAATAATAAATTTAGTGATCTTTATTCTTAATTCATTATTTTGCTAAGAAAATGAGTCACCTGCACAGCTATACGTACAACTTAAAGGTGCATTTATAACATCTACAATATGCTATTTAAGTAATATTAGATAAGCAGTCAGAGAAATGAGCTTCTTACACAGGTAAACATAGATGGCATCTGCAGGAAGCACCTACATTCTGGAAGATGAAAATAAATATCCTCTGATAGTGCTAACTACAGCAGCTAATCAACAGCAGAAAACAGGCATTTATTATAACAAGACTGTTACAATCCAAAAAACATTTCATGTGTAGCTGTCAAATTTGGAAGTTACGCTTTTGAAAAAAGCTCCCCAAGAATGGCACAAAAGCTCTTCCTTTCCTCATTTTTTCACTCCAAAGATAAGTATCCGAGTCAGCACATCTGTATGCGTTCTAGGAAGAGTGGAGCTTTTGCTTCTTAAAAAAAAAAAAAAAGACTTACTAAAAAGCCTGAAAAAGACAAAAGTGACCTGCTGGCACCAAACTATCATAGCACCTTCTCATCTTAAGGCTGAGGAGGAATCTTGAGGCAAGAGGAAATTCTAGAAATATACCTTCAGTGCTTGGAAAGAGACAGAAGATAACCGAAGCCTACATACTTAAGGCATCCCTCCATCTAGTATTAACGCTTTAAAACTGTTTGCTTGAATTGATAGGATCAATCTGTTTCAAGTATGATCATGCCAGGCACTTACTATCACTTATTCTAGGAATCTGCATACCATAAGAAGCCAGTATTGCTAGTTTTTCCTTTATTTTCATAGACATATAGATTTTAAACCAGATTTGAGTAAAAACTTCAGTCTGGTTTACAAACAAATGTTGCAAGCGATCAGGTTTTGTAAGGCACTCGCTTTATAGCTGCTGTTTGCCAAACACTTGTTGAAAAAGCGCGAAGTAGAAGATGATCTTGTCTGTAGAATAAATACAGAATGAAGCAAAGACATTTCTCAAAAAAGCCAGTAAGTGTTGCCTGTAGGAGAGATGTTTATTATTAAAATGTGTGTGTCTTTTTAATAAGAGTTATCTGAAAAGGAATTGAAGTTTTGTCCTCCCATTCCTTCAGGTCAGGCCAGAAAGCACAAAGTAACATTAGATTCCCAAAAATTGCTATACACTGCTTAGGACTTTGCAATAAATTAGTACTTAACACAGTAATGATTAACAACAAGGTAAGCCTAGAATATGCTGTTTATCCCCAGCTATTAATGGGCCCTGTCTAACACCTAAGTTTGGCTACTGTTTCAAAGGTTGTTTGAGAATTTTGAGAAAGCTACATAATCTAAGAAGCCATCCAGGCAAATGCTAGTCTTAGATTGCTGTAAAATCCTCTGACTTCAGAGTTCTATAGGGGGTGTTCCTTAGTGCAGCCTGCAAAAAACATTTTAAACATCAAGTGGTAGTTTCCCTAATGATAATCTCCCTGTCTCATTATTTAATGAGAGACAGACAAATACATACAAGACTTGCATCGGATGCATTTGTAAGTCTTACTGAAAGTCAACGCAGTATGCTTTTTATCACACAGTCATTTTACCATATGCTGATCAGATCTCATTTCTGAAATCTTAGACTACAGTATCAGTATAATCTTGCTACACTTTGCAACAAACCTTTCTATAAAAGGTTTTGATTTACAACTGATTGGGCATCTGTGATTTTAAGTTTTATTCAATGGCAAATGCCACAAACACATTTTTCATCAAATAAAGACAAGATTAAGTTGGAAGACTGAGGAGGGACAGAGCGC